AGGCGGACGAGGGAGGGGCGAGGGTCTCAACCGCGGGCCTGCTCCGCCCTCGGGCCACTGAACTCGTTTTCTGGGAGGTGGAGTGGGTGAGAGTTGGGTGACTTGGTGGTTTCTGGAAAGTGTGCTTTGTTTCTGTAACTTCCGGGCGAGGGTGGGCTCGGCCTGAGGTCCAGGTGAGGCTCTGCGCCCCGAGACGCCAGGACCCGCGCGGTCCCTCGGTGCTCCCAGCGGGCGGCCCACCTGGTGCCGCTTCCCACACGGGTCCGAACCGGGAGAGACTAGGCGGCGTGGCGACCCTGGCCTTGTGGAGCTCGTCCTTGGTGCTTTCACCTTTGCCTGTGTTTCAGGATGGCCTGCGGCGCTCACATGTTGCTGCGAATTTAAGTTTGTGTTGGGAGGACTTAAAGGTACCCTTAGGAGTTTAGGAGAGCTCATGGGGGGGAGGGGGGCGACCTGCGAGGCAGGACCGGGCCTCGGCTTCTCGATGGCAGTGCTCGCATCTAGTGAGTCCTTGTGAAGAGCTGCTGTCACTGTTCTGTGTGCTGGTGCCCGTGAGTCAAAATGCGGGACTCGACACGTCGGGAAGCGGCTGGCCCTCCCCCACTCTGTGTAATTCATAGAAGCAATCGGTGGGTGCTCAGTACTTGACTGAGGGGTTTTATTTTCATTTGTCTGTCCTAGTAAGAAAGAGGAATATGTGCTGTTTGTTGAACGGTAATCATGACATGGCTTGATTTGAAGTCTATTTAGAGGCCATCTGTGTATGCCACTCTGTCTCACTCGCTCCCAAATAAAACGGGAAGACTTATCTAAGGGCTAGGATCTGAAATAGGGGGGTTCACGTGAGTTAAATAGATACAGATACACATTTCCTGCCCACACATTCTTTAGATACCTCTTAAGTTTCACCTTACTCTAAAATTCTGTTCATTGTGATCGAATAGATTTTGGGTTGCCGTTTTCGTTTTGCCTGTTATGTAAAATTCGTTCTTTGAGCTGCAAGAGCCACAAGGGATGACCTTATTCCAGCAGTAAACCTGAAGCCTTGCCCTTCACTGGCAGGTGTTACAAGAGGAGTTGCTGGAATAAGTTTTGTCATGCCAGAACGGCTGCATTGTGATTTATTAGAAGAGCTCACAAGCATTTGGACTTGGATATTTTGTTTCATGTTTTAAAAACTCATCTTAAAAATGAAGAGGGGAAGTTCATAACTTCTCTACATTGCAATAACTTGGAGTATTGTGTGTGTAATTAGCTTTTTAATGCCCATTGCATCATATCTTCTAAGGTTTATATTCAACTAAAATCTAACTTTTTAAAAAGGTCCATTAACTTGGATTTAGGTCTATTTTTTTTTTTAAAATGTTGATTTTTAATGCACAATTTCACCAAAAAGCATATTTTCTAAAAATAGAACAAGCTTCTAAATTACTAATTCCTCCTGCATTAATGAGTAGAAACTACTTACACCTTCTTTTGTATCATAATATAATTGAGTGTGACTCTTTAAACCATTGATGTCAACTAGGTGGCTTCCTTTCCCTTTCCAAATGAAGAACTCACTACAGCGGTCGCCAGTGGTCCGTGAGGTCCTAAAGGTTGGCGACCACTGATAGGAAGGAAGAATTAGCTTTTATGCTAATTAATGTTATACTTGCTTGTGGGAGTTTTGTCAGTTGTCCCAAGTTTGCAACCAAATTCTTTGGTAGATTTGAGATCGAAATGTTTTGGGTTCATAATTTTGAATTTACATACTGTTTACAAAATTGCAGTCCCATTCCAGGCAGTATTAGTATTCGCTCTGTTTGCGTCCACAGAACTTGACTACGTGCTACAGCATGTTCTTTTACTAGAGCATTGATTCAGCTGAGTTACGATTATTTTTACACGTGTATTTCCCTTCCCCATCTTACAGCCCAGCTCATGCCTCACACATAGTAAGTGCTCAGTACATACATATAGAGATGTCCAGTTTTACAGTAGTGGTCTCTAACCAAACATGCATAAGTCAACTTTTTAGAAATCTACATACTCATGCCCCGCCTCTAGGGATTGTGGTTCATTTCAAAAGTGAGTGTTTCATAATTTAAAGCATATTTGCTTGCTCAACGAGTGAGTGCTGGAGAGAAAGCATGGTTCAGCCATGGCACTCACCCTGCAGCCAGCCCACACTAGCATGGGTGAACATGCTCTGAGTCAGCAGACCTGGCTCTACCACTCACTAGCTGTGTGACCTTGCACTAGTTAGTTAACATCTCTCTGCCTTAGTCTCTACATCTGTAAAGGAGTCAGAATATGTCTACCAATTAGGATTGTCATGATAATTTATCAGTGATGTGCTTGGAGCTATAATTGGCACATAGCAAGTGCATTACAAGTGCTTGTTAAATAAAATAATTGACATTTTGTGTCAGGTACTAGGATTCAATGATGAACTTGATAGATGAGGTCTGTATAGCACTGAATGTTTAAATAATAATAGCTAATATAGTCAGTGCTGATGCCCTGTACTGAACACTCTGCATGTTGTTGGCTCAATTTGACGCGCTAATGACCCTGTTGTGTCAGCGCTCTTAGTTCCATTTTGCAGGTACCTAAACCAAGGGTTTGGTAGTTGCTACTGGCCCAAGGTCACACGGTAGTGGGGGAGTCTGTCATAGAACCAAGATCTCTCTTACTGTCAAGCAAGCATGTTTCCCATAGCCGCATTTGTTTTTAAAAATGGAATTTCTACAAGTAGGAATATTTTAAAGGAATAGGACAAAGTTATCCTTTATTTAACCCCTGGAGAAATGGTCGAGTTCTCATCTGAGTGAAGTACTGCTAGAGATTAGCAGTTGCCAGTAGGCCAGGGAGCTGACTTTTGAGAGGGACACCCCTCAGATTACTGCAAACATTTTAACTGGCTTGAGAAGAGTCTTTTTTTCCTCACCAACTGCCACTGTTACAGAATTCTTTTAAAAAAATAAACTTATGATCATTAACATACATAATAATCTCTCAGAATATTATGTTCTAATCCTCTTGTAGACATTTTTCTCTGGATCAAAATTGGCTTCTGGGGTAAGTTTCTTGTTTTAATAATTGGACATTTCTGGGCCTTTCCAGAATAAATGTGGGCATCTAGTGCTGCTAAAGCTTATATTGTTTTAGTAATACTTTGTTTTTCTTTGAAAGATCAGCTCAACATATTTCTAAATGAAAAAATTGTATGATTGAAAGGTACTTAATGTGAAATGTTTACTAATGAAGTGCTTTGAGTCAGTAGAAAGTTTTTTTTTTTAATGATTCAGGAACTGTTTTATCAAAGGGCAGCTTGTTGAGAACTGACCTATGTGTGCTCCCATGGGAGACAGTGACCTGCTGTGCCCATGTCACATGTGATTGAATATGACAGACTCTCCAGCGGAGGGACCATATGCACAGGGCAGGCAGTGGCCCAGGGAAAGCGCCCATGCTTTAACACGCTTTTGCTTCTGCCTGCCGGCCCTGCTTCTCCCTCTGGTATGCTTACCCATCCTCTCAGAAAGCACGTGTTTTAAAAATCTTTACTGTGTCAAAAACAAGTTATGGAATAACTTTCTCTAACTTTTAAATAAAATATTCAATTTATTGGAAATGCTTTTAGTATAATCTTGCCCGAGTATTTCAGAGATGGGTTAAAAATTTGCAAATCAAAACAGACCAAAAAAAAATGTGCACAGGTTTTCTAGTCTACCATAGTTTGCTTCATTTTGGTGTAGCAACTTTTCTTTATGCACATGGATTTTGGTATTTCCTTTACCAGAGGCTTATGGGAAGATATGTGAGGTTTCTGGCTATACCCTTTACTTTAGGCTTGAATTGTTGGCTCTAAAGATTTTGTTTTGTGAAAATCTCAAGGGTAAAATGAATTGGTTTCATTGGAGACATTTACTTTGCCAGGGACAAGGGATTTAGAATGAAATGTTAATTGAGTGTCCTCTGAGTATGCTGCCTTCAGAATGTGCAAGTCATATTTTACCCTTAGAGTGATCAGAGCCAGGTGTGGGAATGCTTGCTTGGTAAAGGGCGTGTAGGAGCTTGTAGCAGCAGAGATGGGGAGGAGGGAAGGGAGGAGCACACCACTTCTGAATGTTATAGTACACTGATGGCTGACAACTCTTTGGTTTTAGAACTAGTGAAAATACTTATTTTTACCCATCTATGAAAGAACAATGTGCTAAAATGTACCACTTGTAAAATTACCTACTTCTGTACTGTGCTCATCAGATTACATTTGCTAGTAAACTGCTTGATCAGGGTGGTGGGATATGAAGAAGCCAGAGATGGCACTGGCCCTGAGAACTTACTTAAAGAGGTATATTTAGCAGTGATCACTCTCAAGCTAAAAAGACCCATGAGAGTTTCACTCTGTCCCATGCCCCTGACATATGGAGGCCCTACCTAGACAGATTGACTGAAGTCCTAAGGTCACACAGCCAAGTCCTGGCTCAACTTAATTACTGTTTTTTTAGAACCTTTCTGAAATTGGGCAAAAATCTTAGATCTTTGAGTCCATGACTTTTCTTCCACACCACCAGTCCATGGGAAGTAAAAACATATCGAACTTTAAATATTGGTCTAAGTCCACAGTGAAAGATACCATCAGCTCTTCCATGGATTTCTGTAGAAGGTCAATATTTAGGTTGAATTGTGCCTCCATGACCCCATGGAATTTCCTGAGGAACCAATGTAGAGCACTTATGCCCGTGGTGACCCAGAAATTAACATGTGACTTCCTGATCAGTATTCTGACAAAATCCATTATTGCTACAGTTAAAGACAACAGAAATATCTCAGGTATTTTCTTAGAGATGTTTGGTAATTTTTGTCTCTCCTGGAGTTAGCAGGCCTTGTGTACGGTGCATCAGCAGTGTTCTTTGAGGTGAAGGATGGCAACGGGACAGCTTGTATAATGGCCAACTTCTCTGCTGACTTCTTGACCAGCTATAATACCCAGAGTGGCTCTAAGGTAGGAAACAGCACATGTGTACGTGCATGCATGTGTGTGTGTTTGCACATGAAAGAGAGATTATTAAAAATTTTCAAATGTTTGAAAAATGATCCCTCCTTGACATAGTTAGCTTGATGTATGCATAGTTCCTTCTCAGCTCCTCAGTAGCCTGTGCTGTTTATATACTGAAGTTCCAGTCAAAATATACAAACCGTTTTGTGCTCTGCTTTCACTATTTTACTATGAGCATTTTTCCCCAGTTTTCTTTGTGATTATCTTTTGTAATACTTCATTATGTTAATCAACCTAATTTGTTAAACCATCCCACTATTTGTAGTTAAGTATATCTGTGGAATTTACTCTATATGAACTATTAACACTCCACAATTGTATATAAACAGTTGATGTGCAGTGCCATGAGCATTGTGCTAATTTGATTAAAAGGTTTTTGGTGTTTTGTTAAAACAACTCTGTACTTCTACAGGATAGGCTTTTGCATTTCCTAGATTTCTAACAAACAGCATTTGTTTGTATTTCTTCTTTCATCAGTTACCTATTAATGACATTTCACTTATTCTATTTACCATGTACTCTTTTAAATATATTCTTAATTCAAATTTTATTTCAATTCCTTTTTGTAACCACCATTTTTCTTTATCTCCATTTCGATAGCATCATATTTTTTTACTACCACTCAAAGGGCAGCAGTGGGGCCCAGGATTGCTGGGAAGATCAGCAGTTTCTTTAGAGCGCTCTGGACTTTGTGCCAGCTGCTCAGCCTCATTAATTCATTTGTACTGGTCTAGATACAAACGTGGTCTCTGTCAAAATAGAAGAAAACTGGGAAGGTTTTGTTCTGTAGAAAAGTCTCAAATTCTAAAGACTTGTCTGAGCACCTTTTATTTTAATTTCTATTCACTATATTTTGTGCTTGGATTTTTAAAATACTATCTTGCTATAGATTAATTATTACACAAATGGGATCATCCCTATGCAGTCATGTGCCTCACTATTTCGCAAAGCATGTCTTCGTCACCTCGTGTAGTTCTGTCTTTTTTTAGGACAGCATTCGCATGCAGCTTAACCATAGTTCTTTTAATCAGCCCAGTTCATTTTGATGGACAGTAGGTTGTTTTCTAGTTGTTTTTTTGCATATAATAGTAAATTAAAACAATTCTGTGTAAACACCTTAAAGAGACATACTCTAAACAAACATTTCTATGGCAAACAAGTAGTAATAGCCTTTTTCAAATAAAAATACACACTTTATCTTGAAACCCAATGTTAATTATTTGAGTTTACTAAGATAATTTTAGTTTTAATTCTATTCTGCTGAAAGTTAAAATTATATTATTGAAGAATTTGTAATATGAAAAATTAAGTCAACTTCTTCTAGCACTTGAATTACTTTATTTTTTTAATCCTCACTCGAGAGTATGGTTTTATTGATCTTCGGAGAGAGAGAGAGAGAAACATTGATGTGAGAGAAACATCAACGTGCTCCCACCAGAAATCAAATCTGCAAACTAGGTATGTATATCCCTGACTGGGAATGGAACAGGCAGCCTTTTGGTGCAGGGGACGATGCTCCAACCAATTGAGCCACATTAGCCAGGGCTTGAATTGCTTCTCTTACTGAAATGTAATGCTGACTTTCTTTGTGTTTTTTGTTTATATTAAAAATACCTTAACAGTGCCATCTGAGATGGAACTGAGAAACTGAGTTTATGTCATACTTTCAAAAGATCTTTACTTAGTGTTTCTGAATCCCTTTAATAACCTACATTCTAATTGGGTTCTGTTGACATTGTGTTTGTTCTAGAATTCGACCTTCAAACTGCCACCTGGTGCAGAAGCATTAGATAGCAGCTCCTGTGGTAAAGAGAATGCTTCTAACCCCAGTCTCATCATTGCTTTTGGAAATGGACATACACTGACCCTCAATTTCACAAGAAATACTACACGTTACAGTGTCCAGATGATGCGTTTTGTTTATAACTTGTCCGACACACAGATTTTCCCCAATGCAAGCTCCCAGGGTAAGAACAAAAATTGACCGATTATGAAGTGAAGAAAATTGGTTTGGAGTAGTGTCTAAAATTACTTTTAACTAAGTAATTAAAATTTTATTCTTTTCTAGGACCCAAGACTGCAGAATCCATACCTGACATCATGGCAGACATAAATAAAAAATACAGATGTGTGAGCAGCAACCAGATCCACATGAATAATGTCACTGTCACGTTCATTGATGCCACCATCCAGGCATACCTTTCAAATGATAGCTTCAGCAAGGAAGGTAAGACCCTGCCCTTGGCCCTAATGTCATTAGTCTGACTTCACTGAATGCAGAAGCAGCTTTGTGCTCTGGTGCCTGGGAGAATTATGAGCATCTGTATAGCTGGGGACAGAGCAGGTAGCTTCTGTCTTAGAAGAGCTGTCCACCAAACCTTTTTTCTCTTTAGAGATGACCTCTTTAGATTAGGGAGGACAAAATTGATCAAAAAGGGGTAAAAGGGCAAAGCAGTTAAGCCTCTCTGGGTCTTCCCTTGTTAGAGCTAATGGAGTCCAGGGAGCTCAGGCAGACCCTAGGGCCAGATGGTGAAAGGACTAGGAGTGCCTTTCTAAGGAGATCATTACACCCCACGAGGCACCTGCCAACGCAGCTCCATGGTCTTGGCTAAGTTAGTCAACCTCTCATTTCCTTCACTTGTAAAATAAGGATAATAACTTGTGTTAGAAGGTTGTTAGAATTAAAAAGGAAATTTATGCAAAGTGGGTCTCTCAGTGCCTGGCACAGAGTAAGTAATAAATAGGGCTGTCATTTTACTATGACTTAAGAAAATTCTCTTCCCCAAATTCCACTAATCAACTAACAGATTAATGTCATTTTTCTAAAGAGTGAGGGGATAAGGGGTTGATTGCCTTGGGGAAGTTGTCTCTGCCTGCTAGAGGGTGTGTTAAGGGTAGCACCTCATTCTAATCTTTTTGAATTTATTGGGGTAACATTGGTTAATCAGAGCATGTAGGTTTCCAGTGTACAATGCTATAATATATCATCTACATATTGTATTTTGTGTTCACCACCCCAAGTCTGGTCTCCTTCCATCATCATATATCTCCCCAGCCTCCTCCTACTCTTTAGACCTGCTGGGCCTTTGATTTGCATTGTTCCCTGGTGGTCTTGCTTGAAGGCTCAGAGTGACTGTTGAGATTGGCTAATTTGCACCATCCCAGAGCTAATTAGCAGGATGAACCAGTCAGCCCTTTTGTGCAGCTTGTTACAGTCCTCAGAGACAGGGGTACTCCTAGCAGGGCTGCCAAACTGGGCTGCAGGCCCGGTCCAACCTGCCTCTGGTCTCTGTATAGTCAGTAAGCTAAGAATGGTTTTTATGCTTAAAATTTAAGGTTAAAAAAAATGAAAATAATATTTCATGACGTGAAAATTCTTTGCAGTTCAGGTTTCAGTGCCCATAACTAAAGTGTTGTTGGAACACAGCCATGATCATTCACTCACCTATTTCTCTGTGGCCGCTTTCATGTTCATGGTGGCAGAGTTGAGTTGGAACAGACACCGGACAGCCACAAAGTCTAAAATGTTTAGTATCAGGCCCCTTACAGAGAAAATTAGCTGACCCCTGACCTAATGGGAAGAGTGTTAGTAACAGAGCTAGGACTAAAAGAAACCAAGTGTAACTGGGAGAAATACAACGAGTAGCAAGTGTGCAGGGCTTACCAGTGGAGATCTGCGCAAGCTGGAGCAGCAGGAGATTCTGAAGAAAATGGGCTTGACCTTTCCACCAAGCAGCCTCTTCTCAAACTGGGCCTGGCGGGCTGGATGAGCATGCAGCTTCCCAAGGAAGGGCTGATGGAGTGCGAGGACTTTTCCTCTTGTGTTGGCGTGAGCAATGTTTGAAGGCAGTAGGTCTCAGTGTGTGCACACTCTAAGGTGCACCTCCTCAGGCATATGAAAGGTGACTTTAGTCAGACAGTAGCTAAGCCAGTGACGGTTAGATCAACAAACTAAATACTTGAAGTTATTTGTGTTCACAGTGATAAATCTCCCAACTACCTGGGTTTCATACCTAGCCAAATACATCTGGGTTGTATCAGTCTTCTGGCTCAGGTCTCAAGAGCAGAAAAAGGGAAAAGCAAAATCTGTCAGAAGGTCTTAGGAAATAATTGCATCTCTGGCTTGCTGGCTCATTGCAGGGACCTCACTAAAATTGGGCCTGAAAGTGGCCGAGATACAGCTCCTCACTTTCCAACTTGTTTTCTTTTGCTTCAAAGGCTTCCGAGCACAGAGATGACCAGTCCTCTCCTAGCGGGCTCCCCAGTATGGTGCTTTGAAGTGAGGTGTCACGCCACCGGGGTTCACACGGGCAATGGAGCCCTGTAACAGGACTACCATTTCTAGTCTAAAAACAAATGTGACAGTAGAGGGACTAATTTTGTTTTGGGGTTAATTAATTGCTTTTTTTTTGATAGACTTTATTTTTTAGAGCAGCTTTAGGTTCAAAACAAAATTGAATGGAAAGTAGAGATTTCTCTCATGTCCTGCATGGGGTTACCTGGGGCTTTGGGGTTTTGGCCTTCCAACCTGCGAGTCCTGGGTTATTTGGAGCTCATGGGTGCCACCCACCATGTTCCTTCGAGTTGGTGGTAAGAAGTTTGGTCATTGAGCTCAGCCTCACTGGACGGGTCTAAGACATCGTACCCACCTCCCCAAGTTTCGTGGTTGTCCCCTCTTACCAAAGCTTGATTCAGTTTTGTTAAATCCACCTGTGCCAATATGTATGTACTTTAGAAAGGAAATCTTCTTTTTCAAAGACACTAGAGCACTCTCTTAGTAAATTCTACTTGGCTGAGGAGGGTTAAGAAGCATCCTAAAGTTGCCAGGTACATGAATATCCTGTAGAGATCGAAGTTTCCTTCTCTCATCATTGGCAGGAAAGCTGGGTGAAGTCGAGAGCTGCTCATACATCACCTCTCACACAACTGTGACTTCCTGCTTGACACTGTTTTATAGGATTTGATCCTCCAGTGGCCTGGGTCCTAGGATACGCAGGCTGCTGTTCAGGGTGGAGGTGCTGGGTGGGGAGCCTCTGGATCTCAAATATGGACTGATGCTCCTTAAGGAAGGGTCTACACTGTACACTATAGTAATTGATAACATGATCTAAGATTTACTTTCCAATTAGTTAATATACAATGTTATACTAATTTCAGGTATACAACATAGTTATTAGACATTTTATATACCTAATGAAGTTAATCTGAATTTTTCAGTCCTCACCCAAGGAAATTTTTCCATTGATTTTTTTAGAGTGGAAGAAAGAGGGAAAAACAGAGAGAAATATGGATGTGAGAGAAATACATCGATTGGTTGCCTCCTGCACATGCCCTAACCAGGGCCTGGGCAGGGAAGGATCCTGCAACCAAGGTATGTGCCCCCGACTGGAATCGCTCTATCCATTGAGCCAAAGCAGCCAGGGCAATCTGAATTGTTTTTAAAGCTCAATTGCTAACATGTTGCAAGGTTACTCAACTTATTATGAACCTAACTCAGAGTCTGATCCTTGGGGAGCCTAGCCAGCCAGCATGTCATTATACTACTTTTTGTCTATTCTCAGTATCTTACTGGGTATTTTTTGACAATGGTTGCTATTAATGTTATTTTGTAATTAAAGAGACCATCATTTTCCCTAAAAGTATGAGATTTGGCATAACTAACCTCATATACTACCAAAACAGCATAAATTGCTTAAAAATACTTGATTTCTATTAGAATTGAGCCATTTCTCATTTTTTATCTCCTTTTGTGCCAGTTTCACTCCTTTGATTCTTAGGTAGTTTGTTTTGTTTGGTTAATCCTCACCCGAGGATATTTTTCTATTGATTTTTAGAGAGAATGGAAAAGGAGGAAGAGAGACAGAGAGAAACATAGATGTGAGAGAGACACATCAATTGGTTGCCTCCTGCATGCACCCCATCCAGAGCCAGGGATCGAGCCTGCAACCAAGGTGTGTGCCCTTGACTGGAATTGAACCTGGGACCCTTCAATCCTCGGGCTAACACTCTATCCACTGAACCAAACCGACTAGAGTGATTTGTAGGTACTTTTATGTTGTTTTTTTTAAAAAATATATTTTTATTTATTTCATAGAGAAGAAGGGAGAGGGAGAGAGAGACAGAAACATCAATGATGAGAGAGAATCATCTATCGGCTGCCTCCTGCATGCCCCCCTCTGAGGATCAAGCTCACAACCCAGGCATGTCCCCTGACCAGGAATTGAACCGTGACCTCCTGGTTCATAGGTTGACACTCAACCACTGAGCTACGCCAGCCGTGCTTTAGGTACTTTTAAATATTTTTCTTGTCAACTGAATTCCCTGTTTCAAGGAAAAGATCCCAAGCCAAATATGTTAAGCATATTTTTATATCCCCTACTCTGTTCTACTCATGGATCCTTAATAAATTGTTGAGTTAACACGTTTGCAATAAATCATTAAATTTTTGGTTATAAAAGCCTGGGTAAAGTTTTTATTTTTATTTTTTTATTTATTGACTTTTAGAGAGAGAGAGAGAAATATCAATTTGTTGTGTCACCCATGTATGCATTCATTTGTTGGTTCTTGTATGTGTCCTGTCCAGGGATCGAACCCACAACTTTGGTGCATCAGGGTAAATTTTTTATTAGATAAACTGCATGTTCAGGTCATTAGAGTGGGCTTCTGTGTTTGTATTTAACAGTAGTGTAGTAGTTACCTTGTCCAGAAAGTCCTTGTTCATTTTGCCTTTACATTTGTATCCTTTTACCTAAAAAAAAAACCTCAGCTATTTAGAGATTTTATTTTAAAGGAAATAAATAACAAGCCAAGGCTGCACTGACTTTCCTGTCAATTTTGTTGATGAGGATAAGTTCTGAAGAAAATCAGGTATCTTCTTTCCTGAAGGTCTGCAAAGTAGGGTAGATGATTATCATTCTGGAATGCTCTCTCTGGAGGCTGGAGAAAGCCAGGTGAATGAGTCTCACTCTGTTCATCAGAATTGGATTTCTGGGCCCAAGCCCACACTGGGTTAATGGATTTGGGGTGAGTCTCTTACAGGCATCTGCACAGCTCTTCACCCTCCTCTCCCATTGTTTTCTTTGTGGGGAAAACTAATGGTGACCCAGTAGCAACTTCTGGATCCCCTATTCTTTCCAGAGGCCTTCCCACAGGTGGCACTGAATATATTCAGTGCATTTTATTTGTGACTAGAGGCCCAGTGCACGAAATTCGTGCACAGGTAAGGGTCCCTAGGCCTGGCCGGTAATCAGGGCCGATCTGTAGGGTGATTGGGGTGCCCTCACTGGCACCTGCCTTGGCTGGTCTGGCGCCACCCGCTCGCGGGCCCCGCACCCCGCTGCCATCGGTTGCCTCCCTCTGCAGGGCGACCGGTGGGGCGATCGGGGGTCGCCCGCTGGCACCCGCCTTGGCTGGCCTGGGGCCTTCAGGCTGGTGGTAGCTCCTGCGTTGAGCGTCTGCCCCTTGGTGGTCAGTGCACGTCATAGCGACTGGTCGTTCTGCCATTCGGTCGATTTGCATATTAGGGTTTTATTATACAGGATTATTTCCCTTGTGGCTTGTTTGTGAGCCTTCTGCAGGAAGGGCTTTGTTATTGGTTAGAGAGTGGACTTTGCATTTATAACTCAGAAGGAAGAGGGCATTTTATCCTTACAGATTTCTAAAGTTCTGCAATTTTCTGACTGGGGATAAGATCTAAGGGTGTTTATTCATGTTTCCAAGTTGATATTTTGTAACTGGCTTTATGAACACAGTGGGTGATTGTCAAATCTCAGTGTAGGTTACTTTCCCTCAGTTGTGTGGTGCAGCCATCTAGACCAGAACTTGGAGACTGGCCTGTTCTCTTTTTTGTTTTGGTGTGGTTTTAATTATGTTGTGTTCTGTAACTAGTTTTAAAGTACTGATGAAGCTGTTTTTTAAAGTGCAACTAAAACGTCCACCTGTAGCTTAGCTCGGGGTAAGAAATGGACAGTGTTGGCCAGCACGCCCTAGGTTGGAACATCTCCAGCAGTATTTGCTGTACCACCACTAGCCCAAGGTTAAACCCTTTCTGAGGTATTTCCCCAGGCTTTGTCCTCTGTCTAGAAGGGCACTTTAGTCTCTAAGATTACATTGTGGGAAGGGATTGAAGGGATCCTGGGTGAATTGAACTTTCCAGAAAGTGTGTCTAATTTTCCCTGTGTTACAGTTTTGTGGGGTGAAGTTTTCTATCTCTCCTCCCCTAAGTAGATGGGATATGGAGGCAGAATTGGCAACTGAAAAAGAGTTACATTGAAGTTTCATTTTAATTTAGAGAAAACAGGTGGTGGGTAGAGTTACACAAACTACTGACTGGCTCTCTACAAGGATGTCTGAGCCAGCTTCCTTGGCTCGGCCTAGCAAAACTGTGGGAAGAGTCAGAATTGGATGGAAATTGTATGAATATTATATTCAACTTCTTGATTGTCCACAGAAACAAAGTGATAAAAGAAAGAATCTAATTGTGGTATCCTAGAAGTGCTGCAGGTGTTATAAAATGTTAAGTAATCTGAAATCTTCACAGGAAGCACCTCCTTCCTGTCTATTCCTGTAGAAAATTTTGAGCTATTCCACTGTGGGTTCCATTTGCTTTGATTTTGAATATAAATTTTTGTTGTAAACAATCATGGTGAATCAAATTCTGAGGGACAGAATCCCATTCAAACTCCTCAGCATCTCCTCTGGTGGAATAATGTGGCCTCTCCCCACAGACACCTCCCCCACAAATCTGACTTCTGGTCACCAAGTTGCTTTGCCATGGCCTGTCTGTACTCCATCCTCCCTCAGGTCCTGGATTGTTGTCTCCTCTTTTGGGATTTTTGCTGTCACACTTACTGGGCCTTCTGCCTACGTGAGAGTGCCTGCTGGAGCCCTCACCACCCTGCCCCAAATACAAACCCACAGCAGCTGACCAACCCTGTGCACTGAGTCTCAGCTCCAGTCTCAGCCTGCAGGGCCACCTGCCACCTATCCTTCCAAGGCCTCTCTGCTCTCCCATGGGCCTTGTGCTGATGGCATTAGGTTTGTGTGTCTGGTGTCTGTCTGTCCCTCCTGAGCGTGTGAGCTCCAGGCCCCTCTTCTGTTCTGTGACTGTTTCCAGCATCATGCAGTAATAGCTCAGAGAGCTGTTTCAGGTGGTGTGTGGCTGACTGTCCCACTGGCATGTGAGAGAGAGATGGTTTTTAACTTGACCGCACGTAGGAAGGGAAGGTTTGTCAGGCAGCAGAGGATAGATCTGTGAGCATGGGGCTGCCCCGAGGCTGAAACGGAAGTGTCCACTTAGAACCATCACGTGGCAGGAGTGGGGACAGGAACTGGACACTGCCATCCCCCTCAGCCTGCTGTGTGTGTGGGACAACGGTGCCGGCCTGCCTGTATAATTTACTCCTGTTCTGAGGGGTGGGGCTATTTGAGAAAGTCTGGGGTTTACAAGGAGCTCAGGGAGCTGGAGCTCAGGGTTGCTGTGGCTCCTGTTTTTAAGGAACCAGAATTTCACCTTCCTTCCTGTGAACAGTATGATTAATCCCTCCTTGTTTCTCCAGAGACGCACTGTATCCAAGATGAATCTTCTCCAACAATGTCGCCAACATCTGCCCACCCTTCACCAACATCTGCCCACCCCTCGTCATCCTAATCCCTCCTTGTTTCTCCAGAGACGCACTGTATCCAAGATGAATCTTCTCCAACAATGTCGCCAACATCTGCCCACCCTTCACCAACATCTGCCCACCCCTCGTCATCCCCTCCCCACCCTTCACCAACATCTGCCCACCCCTCGTCATCCCCTCCCCACCCTTCACCAACATCTGCCCACCCCTCGTCATCCCCTCCCCACCCTTC